AATAAACAAGGAAAATAAAAATATATATATTTTTTATTTCAGGAAAAAGTTTTAAAATAAGAGAGGAGAATAAAATTAGAATTTAAGGTTTTAGGAAATGATTTAAAATTGGAAAGTTCTTAGGACGGGAGGGAAAGGTGAGGGAAAAGGGGACGAGGGAAAGGAAGAAGGGGAAGGAGAAGACGGCAACCCACCCCTACCTCCAATCCTCCCTCCCTTGAGGAACGGTTGGTCCTCCCCCGCAACGTTCTCTCAGGGTTGAAAGAGTTTCAAATTCATCTGTCGAAGCTTCTGGTTCTCTATGGTCGGTCCTGGATCCCATTGACGATTGCTCTGGTTCCCAAACCGTCTAAGTAGCTTTTCCCATCTGCAAGCATGCCTCTTTATCAATCTCTTCTGGTTTGGCATAATCTGGGCCGAAGGTACACATCGACGTAGGTTCTCCCAAGCTAAAATTTAAACAAGAAAATATCTCGTATACTTGTCATGTATGACAAGTTGGGCCTCCGCGGTTTTAAGGATTTGCATGAGTTTGGTTGCTAGGTGATTCTTATTATCTATTGGGTCTTCCCTCCGACTATTGAAGTTTTGGAGGAAAGACATCTTCTGCTTGGTTCCAATAAAAAGAACTTCATCTTGGTCTTTCGTCTCTTCATGTGGAACACTAGGACTGAGGGCTGGAAGTTTAACAGCTTATAATGCTATAAGTTTATCGTTATTAAGACCATCCACTGAAATTTTAAATTCTGACATATTCTGATTTGTGTGACCTTTGTATGTTTCAACGATAAGTTCTCCATCTTCTAGGAGAATAGGAATCACAAACTCATCAAAAGTCGCATGCTCCTTTTGATCACATGGGGAAAGAAATCGGATGTATCTACGAATAAGAGAGTTCCAGGGATAAAATATCTTCGAATAAAAATTCTTGTTTGAACTGATCTTCAGTGTCTGCAGTGTCCTTACCTTACCCCATGTTTCAACAACGCCCTGCTCCGTGAAATAGATCACTCCCTTAGTTGTGCATTCTGCTTCCACATGTCTGAATCTATGGCACTTGCAATATTTTCTGACTTTGGCAAATTTGTGGATTGATTTCCCTGGATAGTTGCACCGAGGGGGTGGGGGTCGCTTGATGATACAGTCTTTTTACATCAAAATCTAGAGTCTACAACTTTTGGTGGTAATAAGTTGGCAGGAACTGGCGATGTGTTTTCTGCTTCATCTTCATATTTTCTCGTTTTCCCTTCAACCTTCCAGATCACATTCGATGTTAACTTCTCACTGGATTTTCTCTTCAATATCCATAAACCTTTTTGGAGGTGATGGAGTTCTCGGAGCATCTCTTCCCGGGTAAGCTGCACATTCTTTCTTGGCGGCATAATTGACGGTTTTGGGATCTGTGGGAGGAAAGAAAGAAGAGAAAAAAATGAATGAATGAAATAACATAAAAAAATTTGGTGTGGTGGATTGGGTAGGGGCAGAGGCTAGAAACCCTAGAATGGGATTAGGGTTAGGCTAGCTCTGATACCAAATGATATCAGAGTTAACCTAAACCACGATGCAAGACGCAGATTTATTACTGACTTAAAAAAGGTTACAATGAAAACTTGAAATAACAAAAGATAGCCCAAAAAGCAAAAACAAAAAATAAAGGATCACAACTAATGACTCAACAAAAAAGACAACCCCTTGATGCGGGAGTCCGGCGATGGAGGCTGGATTGGCTGTTGCGGTGAACTCCGGAGAGGTGGGGCTGTTGTGAAAGAAGTAGGACAACAGATTGGCAATAGTAACGACGTTGAACCACAGCTAGAGAGGAGCAGGAACGTCGTCAGAGGCTGGATTGACAACTGCAATGAAGGTCAGACGGAGGTCTGCGGGGGTGCAAGGAGAAATCTAGCGTACACCTGCAAATAGGACAACTACCAGCAGATGCGAAGCCAAAGGGTAGGAGCGGTGAAGGCCTACTGGAGGGCTGCAAAGCAGGCAGACAACAATAGAAAGAGTGAAACGATAGATAAATATATTGTCAAGGTTGAGTTGCAGTTGGAGCACCACCCGGACCCGTGGAGATGATCACTACCTCGGACAAGGGACAACTAGAGCACAACCTCGACATTGGATACAACCCTTAAGAGGAAAATACCAAGACTAAAACCTGAATTCAGATATAAAAACAAGAGCTCCAACTCTAAGCACATCACCTCCTATTTATAGAGAGGCTTGACCTAATTTAGAAAGAATTTCAACTTTTGGAAAGACTTTTAAAATAAGAAAGGAGAATAAAAAAATTTTCAGATTTTTGGAAAGGCTTTTAAAATAAGGAAAATAAAAAGAGCTTCCAAATTTTAGTATAGGTTTTTAAAATAAGAAAGGAGAATATAAAAAGTTTCATATTTTAGGAAAGGCTTTTAAAATAAGAAATTAGAATAGAATTAGAAAGTAGAGGGGGAGAGGGAAGGAAAGGTGAGGGGGAGTGGGGAGGAAGAAAAGGATTTAAAATTGGAAGTTCTTAGGAAGGAAAGGTGTGGAGGAGAGGGAAGGAAGAAAAGGAAAGGGAGAGTGGGGAGGAGGGAAAGGAAGAAGGGGAAGGAAGGGCAGCAGTCACCTCTCACTTAAGGACCGGCCGGTTCTCCACCGAGGACCTGCGTCAGAGAAAGAGACAGGGAAAGCGAAGGAAAGAGAGAGTGAAAAAGAGAAAGGGAGAAGAAGTGGTATATTTCATAATCAAAGAAGAAGAAGAAATGGGAGAAGCATGAGCTTACTTGCACGTGAATGGCTCGTTCAACTCTGTCGTTTGTCACAGGTGTGTAAGAGAAAGAAAGAGATAAGATAAACAACCAAGTGCATCATGTGAGCCCTCCTCACATGTATTTGATCAAGCAAGTGAAAGAGGAAAGAAGGAGAAGTCGAGTAGCCCTTTCCTAGGTTTGTGAAGTCTTTTCATACTCGAACAAACTCGTTAAGCTCCTACAGCAGGGGAGCAACTCGAACAAAATCTTTATACATCTGAAAGAGGCTAGATTGAGCAGTCTAAGCTCTCACCCAAAGCAGGGTATGAGGAAGTTTTTCCGCAAGCCTTAGACGCTCAAACCAGTAATTGTGATGCCCTAAGAATAGAAAATATATTATGTGCGGATGAAATCCGTACACGCGAACAGGAGTGCTTGGAGGGTACTCAGAGATACCCAGAGGTACTCAGAGGGTAATCGAGGATACAGAGGGTAGTCGGAGAATACTCGATGGTTACTCGGGTGTACTCCACTAATCTCAACGTACGAATTACGCACGTAATATTCTCTCCTCAGAATAAATGGTGGCACAATAATAAAATAAATTTGAGAATTTAGTCCTTAAATAAATATTTTAAACTTATAATTTACTTTTTATTATTTGTAATTGCTGAGGAATTTGGAGAAAATCTAAAACTGAAATTATTTAAATTGTGTTAAATTTTGATAGGAATTTCATGTGGCAACTGAAATTAGGAAAAAAATGTTTTTTTTTTTTTTGCGGGGGAGGTATTCAGGGTATTAATTCTAATTTTAATATTTATTTGTTAGTTTCCTAATTAATTAGTATAATTTTAAATTAAAAATAGGTCTGATTAAGTTGTTCCTATTGCAAGCATGCCAAAAGATGTTTGGGAAAGTCATTTAATTGAAACTTTTTGAAGTTAATAGATTTAATTATGTTATATAATTGACCGCAACAATGTATATTTTCATATAAAGTACCAAATAGCCGAGTATTAGTATTAAAAAATAGAAATAATATAAAAGAATGTCAAAACAATAATAAAGGTGAATCAAAGTCCAATGTGTTATTATAGATACACCTAAGGATTAGTTTGATCGAGGAAAAGGGCATCTAATTCGACTGTACAGATGGATAAACATGTTTTTATTTTAAATTAGTTCTTATTTATGAAAGAAATTGCAATTGTTTTTCTACTGTTTTAAGCACCTTATTTAAAAAAAACAATTCTCATGTCTTCAAAAGTTAAATAATAGAAAAAAATACAAATGATATATGCATACATATGTAGAATTACATGCAGATGGTACTAGCAAGGGGTGCAATATACTCATATGCATAAAATTAAAATGAAAATGGAAATAGAAATAGAAATAGAAATTAAAATAGTTATCTATATTTTTTTTGGATTTTGGAAAAGATTAAACATATATTTTTAGTATACGTTAGCAGATAACTCCCGCTAATAGATATTGTAATCAAAATGAATAAACGTAACCAGAAAACTGATTGATTTACTATTTTTTTTACTGCTCACAATCATTACTGTTTACTGCATTTTTACAAAATATTTTAAAAATTAAAATTATCGCAATATAGAAATATTTTACCCACTTAGTATTCTAACTCCCGCCTCCAACTGCTAACATTTTTTAAGAAAGATTGTTATAGAATAAAAGCATCATAGAGAGTATATGTATAGACGTTAATGAGCTTAGACTGATAGGTATTACGGTTCAGTTTTTATGTTTTATTAGTTGTAAAAATTAAAGACATGTACAAACTGGTGGTAAATTAAAGTTTTATGAAATGGAATGACTTAATTTGTATTTTATATTAATTATAAAATGAAAATTCTGAAAAAGTTAGTTTCCTCTATCCAACCGACTGTTCCAGACTTGATATTCTAAGCTCCTGGCTCGAGTCATGACATAAGACTAAAATAAATATCAGTTGTTTGAAGTGTCCCCAAAAATCTATTTTACGATAAAAATTTTTCAGGTGAAATTGAGTAAATTTCTTTACAAGCTGTAAGGACTATCATGAATAAGACCATTCATCACGTCAAAAAATAATAACAATAAGTAATCTTCATGTGGCCTATTAACCATGGAAAAGCAAGAATTTCAAGTACTGCCTCCAAATAAATTTTAGCAAAACCAAATAAGCAGTTCCTAAACATGTTGGATAAAGAGAACAAATGAGAGTTTCAGATAAAGGCATTCTGCAAATATTTATACCTTGAAAATGCCTCCTAACCAAAATCTGCAGATAAAACAGTAGTCAAGTTTAAGAACATAATCAGTTCAAGGCCATACACAGTATAAATTATACCTAGGATATTTATCATGGGATAGAAAAAAGTAAGATTTACATGCATACCACACAATTCTTATGTATTTACATATCTAACACCTACACTTCAATTTCTACATGCATGTGTCACATTACCTGTACATGAAAAGTCATATTTCACTTTTTAGAAGTTAAAACAGTTTTTCTTTTGATGTGATATAAAAGATTTGAGAGGAACAAATGTTCAAATCAAGGTTTAGTTGTTAAATATGTAAATATATATGACTTGGGTGGTATGTATGAAAATGCCCCTATAAAAAATCAGAAGCACCACATTTGCTAACCATACCTTCCCCCAAGGCTGCGATGCAATGGCCTCAACAGCCAAGGTTTCGATCTTTGAGATTCCTCGAGCCAGAATTTTTGGAATCTGAGAACAAGATACCATAGTCAGGATTACAAAACATTCTCACGAGTGACAATGTGGCAAGGACTTTCCTTTTCTAAGAAAATCACCTGCTATTTAATGTCTCTGTTTCATCCCATGAATCTAATTTCCAAACATCCTTCTCAGTGAGAGGTCTTTTGTAGCCAAGTTGCATGAGTGGAGTAATCCATGAAAAAAATATTTCTGAAAAAGGCAAAATATCCAATGAGTATCAATTTTAACATGGATTTGAAGTATTCCAATGTATTTACCATGGTCAAGGGTTCTGTTACATAAATTATTCAAAAAAAAAACAAGAGAGAGAGAAGACTAATTTCACCATTTTCTAATACACTCACTAGAAAATATGTTTGTGTGCCTCTCGGGGCATATCTGCTCTCCTCCAGAAAGCAATTCATACTGAGTGTTATCCACAAAAACATCACCTCTAATAGGAGTGTATCCAGTATATGGATCCAAATTAGGAACATAGAACACAAGTAGAATGCCAAACAAAAGCTGCATAAACAAAAAATATGGAAGAAGTTATTGCATACTCATAAGGTAAAGCAACAAGAAAACCTGACTTGTGCAAAATCCAAGCCATTACAACAGATGTATTCACATTAAATTATGATAACATATGAGCTAAACTGAGGTGAAGATGCATGTAAGATGACAAAGATGCAAAAAACAGACCTGACAAATTACACCGCTGGTATATATGTTAATTACCAATCTGCAAAATGGAAATTTTCGAGTGAGATGTGACAGCTTAGTTGATAAAATGAGGATAGAAAACTAAGCTAATATAAATTTGTTCTGCTACAACAGTTACCAACAGCAGCGAAAAAATTGTATCCAATAAACATCCAATAAAAGCATGGTAAGGATCTTTAAAATCAAAATATTAGCTTATGGAATTTCTCAAAGTTCGTAAGAAAAAAGAATGGCAGTACAAAAGTGATTCAGCACATTTCAAACATAAATAGTCAAAGGGCCAAATTCCATGCGTTGTTTCGCAGCCAAAAATCGCAAGAAAATAACAAAGAAATTGTGATCGCAAAAAATATTTTTTTTGCAGATTACACAGAATCTTAATATTTTATGCAAGGTGATTAATGCAACAACCAGTCACAAAAAGCACAATCATTTTCCATGAGAAAAATATTAAAACAATACTTAAAAGTGACAGTATTTGATGACTTACTTGTCATAGTACTCCCTTAAGGATAGGAAAGTACTGAAAACAGCTGCATTCCCAACAAGTGCATATATGACTACAAACCGTACGTACCACCGGAATTCATGGATGTAAATTTTAGTTTCCAAAGCAATCATGGCGAGCATACTAAGCCAAGCAACTGCTTCAACAATCAGTGAGACCACCTGACAAGAAAAGGATAACATTCAATAGGTTTAAAATCAACTTTATCACAAAATTATCCGCCTGCTTAATAAAATATATGTAAAGATTATCATTGTAAGAACCAAAACCAACTTGAACCGACCTCAACCCCAACCACAGAATTCACTCGTGTGAATTGCACAACTTGTCTTTCCTTTCACCAAACCAACCTTCCTTGCTGCTCTCGCACTGCCTACACCCGCCAATCACACAAATCATGCAATTTCCTATACCTCCCCACCACCCTGATGGAGCAGACTTCGTATTCTCTTTCTCAAACTCGGCACTAGCCCTGCACCAACTTCACTTCTTATATATAGCATTGAAAGGTTAGGGCTTTGCACTCTCTCACATCTCCTTCATTTCTGCTGACAACTCTCCTAATTCCTCTCTTTCACAACCGTAAAATCCCCTTCGCCTCTTTTTTGCCCTAGTTTGTTCTCTAAGCAATTGTTTTCACACCTCAATCATTAGTTTTCTCTTCACCGAGAGGAACCAATAAGAAACATTATCTATCACTTCACTTTTTTCTCTTCCTCATTTTAAATCGTAATCAAATTAACCTAAATTAATAGTAATAATTATTTTTATTGGTGATGAATTACTAATATTTATATATAATAATAATAATAATACAACAACAAAAGAGCCTTAATCCCACTACGTGGGTCGGCTACATGAATCTTTTTTCTCCAATACGACCTATTTAGTGTCATATTTTCATTTAGTTCTAATAAATTAAGATCATTTTTTATGCAATAAGCCCAAATCTTCCTAGGTCTACTTCTGTCTTTCTTAACATAAATCGAATCTAAAGCATCTACTCTCCTAATCGGATCATCAGATGATCGATGTTTAATATGATCAAACCATCTAAGACAACTCTCTCTAATTTTGTCCGTCACTGGAGCTACGCCAACCCTATCACGGATATATTCATTTCTCATTTTGTCTCTCGGATATATTCTCATTTTGTCTCTAAGTGTAAAACCACTCATCCACCTAATCATTCTCATCTCGGCAACACTTAACTTAGTATTATGCTTCTCTTTTAAAGGCCAACATTTAGCGTTATAGAGCATTGCATCTCTCACCACCATCTTATAAAATTTTCCTTCCAGTCTAAGCGATACTTTTCTATCACACAAAAGGCCCAAAGCATTCCTCCATTTCAACCAACCAACTTGAATTCTACTATTAACAACTGCATCTATATCACCATCACCTTGAACAACAAACCCGAGATATCTAAATCATTCACACGTTTTAATAATTTGATCACCCAAAGTTACACTTCTGTTGCTAGAGCTACTCCTACTAAAATTACATTTCAGGCATTCAGTTTTAGTTCTACTCAAATGAAGACCTCCATAATTCAAGCTTTTCCTGGGCTTTTTCTCGTCTTATCCACAAGAAGGATATCATCGGCAAAAAGCGTACACCAAGTTACATTCTTTTGTAAATGTACAGTAAGACCATTCATAACTTAAGCAAAAAGATATGGGCATAAAGTTGATCCCGATGTAATCCAACAGAAATAGGAAAATATTTGGTCAATCCTCCTTCAGTTCGAACACAAGTAACAGCTCTAGTATATATATCTTTTAAAATGACTTTGAATATAAGTCATATCAACACCTTTCTTCTCAAGAATGCTCCAAAGGACATCTCTTGGAGTTTTATGGTATGCTTTTTTCTAACTCAATAAAAATCAAATGTAGATCCTCCTTATTGTCATTGAACGTCTCCATCAAACCTCTCAATAAATGTATAGCTTCCATGGCAAACATGTCGGGCATAAATCCAAGTTGAGAAATCTTTGTAATACGTCTTAGCCAATGTTCAATTACCCTCTCCCATAATTTTAAAGTATGGCATATCAAATTAATTCCTATATAATTTGCACACTCTTCTGCAACCCCTTTATTCTTAAAAATGGGGACCAAAATACTCTTTCTCCACTCCTCAGGCATTTTTTTTAGTTTTCAAAATAATATTAAAGAGTTTAGTAAGCCAAGAAACTCTCAAATTTCCTAAATATTTCCACACTTCAATTGGAATATCATCAAGTCCTACACACTTTCCACCATTGGTTTTCTTTAAAGCCTACTCAACTTCTTTTTTACTAATGTGACGGTAAAAAATGAAATATTTTATTATTATTAACGATATTAAGATCACTAAGGGCGATCGGATTTTCCGAAACTTCAATTAAAAAATTCAATAAAAAAACTAATCCACTTATTCTAATATTTTTTTCTAAGAAAAGCACTTTTTTAATTTTCATCTTTAATACACTTTACTAGGGTTAAATCTTTGTTTTCTTTTTTCTTTGTTTGCCTAATATACATATATTTTTCACCCTCCTTAGTATCTAATTTATCATAAAAAATACTAAAAACAAAATTTTTAACGTCACAGATTATTCTATATTTTTCTCAGTTCTCTAATCTTTTACAATTAAACCAATTTTTATAACATAACTTCTTATATTTTATCTTTTCTTGCACATTATTATTTCACCACCAACTATTTTTATTTATAAAAACTTTTTCTTTTGATTCTTTAAGTACATCTTTTACTACCCGTTTAATAGTGTTTATTACTTCATCCCACATAGCATTTGTTCCTTCATGAACATCCTAAATTTTGAAATCTTGAATTTTACTCATAAAAATAATTTTATTAGTGTCTTTGAGGTTCTTCCATCTAATTCTACAATGATGAGTTCTAACATTTGTTATGTTGACAACTCTGCATCTTAAAATCTAAAACTAATAATCAATGTCGGGTACTTAAATCATCACTTGGAATAATCTTACAATCTTTACAAACTCGACGATCTCTTCTTCTCATAAGAAAATAATCAATTTGTAATTTATTATATCAATCCTTATAAGTAATAAAATGTCTTCTTTTTTCTTGAATAAAATATTAGTAATAGCAAAATCATACACAAGAGCAAAATCTAAAATTGTTCTATCTTCTTCATTAGTCACTCCAAAATCGTAGCCACGATGAATAATTCTGAAATCTTCTACCACTCTACCGACATGTCTATTTAAATCTACTCCAATAAAATTTTTTTCTTTAAGAGATATCATTTGTGTTAACTCTTCTAAGTCATTCCAGAATTTAACTTTAGTCCCTATATCTAGACCTACTTGAGGAACTAGCACTTATAAAATTAAAAATCTTAGTATCAATAATAATCTTACTTATTATAATTCTATCACCAACTCTATTAATTTTTACAACATTATCTTTCAAACTCTTATCTGTAATAATAATAATAATTGTCACAACATTTGATTTGAAATGTTGGTTTGGTAGCTTAGGTACTTACACTATGCCTTTATGTTTATATCAACAATTAATTGAGATTCTTGTTGTAAGACCTTCAAGTGATTCATAGGATGTCATGGTTGAATTTCAATAGAACAGGTGTCCTATTGCTCATCTCGAGATAAGCAACAATTACTAAATAAAAGATAAATGTATCATTCATTTGTATGGGTGTTATCCTTGTTGATTGAATTAGATTTCTAGCTGCTATATAGAATTGGTACTTTTGCCTTTTTGAGCTTAGTTTTATTATGCATATGTTGTAGGATTCTTACGATATTCATCAAGGAAATGTGTACCTTGATTTATTACTGCACAAATTCTTACATATTAGATTTAATTAGACATTTACAATGATTACTTTTCTTACCCATTATTTCTATTAATTGCAATAATTTTTTTCCAAGTTACAATCATATTATTTGTCAAATTATTATATAATAAATGTAAAAAATTGAAATTACAAGCTTATATGCAGTATGTAGATTGATAGAACCATTCTTGAAGTTGGTTAGCCAAGCCGGCAATTCTATAGAGAAACACCATAGAAAATCAACGTATTTTTTTGGGCTGGTGTCTACCTTCACGATTTTAGGGTTTTTATTAAAACCAACTATATGGATATAAACAGAACTAAAATCGAAAAATAAATTATTGTTAAGTCATACATTAATAAGGCCAAACTAGATTAAAAATGAAGGCGATGAAATACATAAAATTGATTGTCAATGATTACATATTACATTAAAATGATTGAGCATAGTCATATCATCATCGAGGTTAGATGACAATTGTGACAACACTCTTTTGTTTGATAATATTATAGATGCATATAGTAAATCATCATGTTTCATTACTGATATTACACTCTGTAGTGTTGTTTATACTTTAATAAACAATGTCATTTACTAAATTTGATCTATCAAACTCATTTATTGATAATTTTGTATAAAAAGTTCTATCAGATTGCTATGAGAACCTTCATCAAAAGAGTGGCTCATTCAATAATAAATTTACTTTTGATATTTCAATTTTTCTCCCAATTATATTTGTTGGATTTGGGTAGTTTCATTTTTATAGTTATTTTTCCCACTTTAATATTTGCACTGAATGTTTTACTCTCATTTTAGCATATTGTTCTTCAGAGTTGTAGATGTTATTGACCCTGATTTTATAATAATATCAAATTTATTTTTCCTACCCTTTTTTTTTGTATTTTATACTAAATCTTTTCTTTTTTGAAAATACAAATTAGGTTTATATATTCCTTCAACGTGGCTTCCATTATTTGGGTGACACGGGAGCTCTATTGTGGATACCATATCACGGTCCCGAGATCCCACAATTGCGATATTCTGCAAGGAGTGGAATCAATCCCGGGAATGTTGGAAGATTAATCGAGATTGGATCCGATCCCGGTAAAGCATCGCAATCATGAAAGCTGGATCGAGCAGGATTTTTGCAATTTTCCCAACTGCAGGAATTCTTCTGCAAGCAATAACTACCAGCCCTTATAGACCCATATTGAAATTTAATTAATTAGAATGAGAGTTTTTTTTAGATGGAACTATTCATATTTCATTATTTCTCAATTTTAGCAGACATTTGCATGATTTTGCGTTGTTGGATATTATAA